TTTGCATTCACGAAACATGACCTTTTCATTTACCAATTATTTGGAGGATGATAAGGATATATTTGCATATTACGGAGGGGGAGATGCTTTTACAAATCACACAAATTCTTTCTTAAATCATATGGAAAATACTTTTACAAATCATACGGAAAATACTTTCACAACTAATATGGAAAATTCTTTCACATATAATATGGAGGATTCTTTCACGCATAATATGGAGGATTCTTTCACGCATAATATGGAAAATTCTTTCACGTATAATATGGAGAATTCTTTCACGCATAATATGGAAAATTCATTTATGACTTATACACTCGAAAGGGATATGTTCTCAAATCATATGAACAATATGTTGATGAACGATGTAATGCGAATGAATACCCTAGCCAGCATTGGAGTGGATAAAGGCATTGGAGTGGATAAAGGCATTGAAGTAGATAACGGTATTGGAGCGGATAAAGTCATTAAAGTAGATAACGGCATTAGAGCGGATAACGGCATTGGAACGGATAACGGCATTGGAGTGGATAACAGCATTGGAGCGGATAACGGCATTGGAGTGGATAATTGCATTGAAATAAATAACGACATTGAAGTAAATAACAGTATTGGAGCGGATAAATGCATTGGAGTAGATAATGGCATTAAAGTAAGTTACTGTAAAGCTATACTTGCTTTTTGTTTACTAATTATTATTTAATCGTTGTAAATTTTTGAATTTTTGTCTTTTTATTCTTATAATAAAGATCGACTGTACTGCATCGAATGTTAATTCTTATGGAACAAACCAAGACACTACAACTCTTGCTAATCATATGGATAATGAAAATCCTTGCGAGGTAAATCAAATTTAAAGAGGCAATCTAATTTTTTTTTTTTTTTTTACAATATAGTAACATTATAAAAAATATTTGTTTTTAGATTTTTTCTTGGGATTTATTGCCAGATTTTTTACAAGCAGTTTTTCCTATGAATTATAGTTATATGATTTGACATATGATAAAATTGCCGCCACATTATACCCATGAGGGTTTTGAAGTACAACAATTTGAAGCCAATATATTTGTTAATGTTTTAACCATAGAAGGCATAAAAGAATGGTTTGCCGCTTTTGAAGAACACTCGAAAACAACAATGCCGCAAACTAAGAGATATGGAGTTAAGGGCAAACGAGTTATTTTCCGAGAATCAAGGCATTGTATTCATAGTCAGATTGTTAGAAAAAAACAAGGTGACC